AAAACATACACGAATGTCTTTATCTAATCTAATAATAATAATAATAATAATAATAATAATAATAATAATAATAATTTACAGGATTGCAAATCCGTTTCAAGATGTCCGCTTTGACATAATTTCTTCTAGTTATTGCGCGTAATTCCACTTGTCGCGAAGAATATCATACAATCTACATACGTATGAAAAACATAAGCTATGAACTTTGATCACAGTCAGAGCATTACCTCACATACCACGCGCAATCAATATTTCGTATCAAATTGCTATAATAACGCCTCAATCTGTAACATCGGCAAACGAATGTCACGCTTCGCGCCAATGTTGTCTCCAGATCATCGACTGTACAATTTATCTTGAGTAGATAACGTTGATTGCATAACTTTATCAGATAAAATGTATCACAAGAAACTAAATATCAAGATTCGGTAATGTTACTGCTTCTCGTGCTAATGCTCGTCAATTCGAGCGGACAGAAAAGATCGCACATCAATAATAACATTAATCTAGAGTAGAACGTCTACTTTTTGCTCATTGTCATAAAAATTTATGGATTTTCATAAGCGATGTAGGTATAAATAAGATGTAGAGATTGAGTATCAAAACAAATTTATGTCTTTTTATATAAGCCCTGTCTCGAAAGTGATGTCTTCTTTCAGTTTATTTCTTGTAGAGAAATAACTCGAATTTGTTTTTCGGAGGCAGTGAAGAGAGCACTTATGACACATGAAATTACAGCTGAAAAAACTCAAGTTTCTTAACTGTAATTTCTTTATGGCCAATTAACCAATAACGACCGTTTAAAAAAGTATATTATTTCTATCAATCAGCCTGTCGTTCTGATAAAAGATACACTGTAGCGTTCCTCTCTCTTTCCTTCTTGCAGTTTTTTTATGTATTATATTTATATATCTGGTGCAAAACGCTATCGCACCTTTTGATATCAAAATAATTTTAATTACGTCCTTAGCTGTCGTTTTCTCGATTAGGTTTGAGTATCTTGTTCAAAGCGGAAAGTTCTTGGTTTATCCAATAAATGTCGTTTATACTGTTTCTCTCTTCAGCCGCAGGCTAAAATTAGCAAAATGAATTAAAAATATCTAAATAACGCATTATCAAAAATGTCAATTAAAAGTTGTACAAAAAGTTATGGAGCACTTACTTGTACAGAATCGGAGATGGATAATCCAGTTGACAGATTTGCAGAGAGGTTTGCTCCAAAATCCGCGAGATCGGCAGAATTGAACTGCTCGTCAAAGTTGAACTGCTGACTGTCCATGTCGTACAGGCATGTGGCTCCTGCGGTGCCTGAAAAATTTATGCAATATTAGAATATGAATTAACGTAATTATTATAAAGTACATTTACCGATATTATTCAATAGCTGTAATCCGCCTTGATTTTCTGACGTTACTCTGTTTAACATCAGCAAGTTTGGTTCAGGTTGATGTAATTGCGATTGAGATTGATATGGAAATTGTTGGACGTCTGTTACCACTGGCATATTTGGCTGTTGCATCATTGGCTGAATGTTTGGTTGATATTGTTGCTGCATCAGTAACGGGTTGTAGGCGCTGCATTCCATAGGGGAGGGTGTTCGTCCGGGAGATACTTGAGGCCTGAAAAAGGATGCTTAGGTATAGAATGCAAAGTTGTCTTTTCTGTTCTCACTTAGTTTTATCTGATCTATTAATCAACCTTAAAGTTTGCATGCTGCTGGGCGGTTGCGAGGATCTCACTGGTTGCAGGTTGAAACCGCCAGTGTTTGAACCATCCGGACCTCCGAATGATGATATTCGCTCGGCTGGTTCAGCTTTGACGATATTGTAACTAATAGGTTGATTTCCATCTATAACGTTACAGCAACATACGTGTAATGCGCCTTATTAGTTGTGAAAAGACGGGTTTTAGTCCACATGCATAATGTATGACGTGATGTTATTAACAATAACATGCGAGAAAGACATGTGAGAAAATCCTCAATGAAAAAGCATGATTTCCTACACACATATTATACATGCAATTTTTATATATTTTCACTCTTCAAACTTTTTAGAGAATAAACAATTATTCTCGATAATACTTTTTTGATAACACGTTAAACGATCACACTGTCTAATTGAGACTGTTAACGAAAATTTACACACTGTGCTAACATCACTACTCGTACCTGAGTCTGCTGTATCAGTGAACTTTTGTCTGAAATTGTATAGGAGCAGAGAATAAATAGACACTCTTTTTTTGCATCACCAAGTGATTATACATGTATGTATATATAGTTGTATTACATATGTAATTCGTACAATATGTAAATATATTTATCTGTTCACGAAAGAAGCAGTTTATAAAAATTATATTACCATAGAAATATTGCACATTATTTAATTATACTATACTACAATTGTTGTGTATAGTATATATATCTGTATATATGTATCTGTGTATATGTGATATATACATATACATATGTACATATCATGTGTGTGAGCGCGGGCGCGCGCGCGCACACACACACACATACACGCACATCATACATATACACATATACATATACATATATATATATATACACACACACATACTGATTTTCAAAAGTATTTATTGCACAAGAGCAGCGCACTCGCACCATACAAAGTTTGAGCTATGAAACTTTTACTTATAAGTATCTATTGTCACGAGTGATGACTCCACACGATCATTACGGCAAATTCCTTGTTATAAGATCTAGAGATGCGATATATATATATATATATATATATATATATATATATTTGCTTCCGGAATCAATTATCCCGTGTAAATATCCATAAATGAAAAATACAATATCATATCTCAAAATATACAAGCTCACTGCTCCCCAATTCTTCAAATCCAAACTTCAAAACCCTATGTAAAATACATCTTTAAAAAAGTATAAAACAAGATCTTTTTCTGCTTGTCTATATGTGAAAATATATGTGTAGTATTTTTATAATGAGATTCGATAAGCTTCCCTTTCCACTGTGAAAAGTACTCGTCAATAATTTTCAAAGTCTGCTAAAAATGCCAGTAAAATTATCATATGAATTATATATGAGTGTACATTAAATTATGTACGTAACATTTTTGAAATTTTTATATTTTCAAAGTGTAAAGGGATTGGATTAATCAGATGGTTAGTGTATGATGAGACGTAAGAACAGTCGAACGTTGACCGTTCTCAACAAATTTACGATGTCGCAACAATTAACAAATATAGGCCTGTTAAAATGTACAAAAACTTTATAGATTTCGTTGTGAAAAGGCCTCTTGTTCCATACGCATATAAAAGCGTATACTTGATTTCCGCACAAAGAGCATACAATATAGGAAATATCAATGTAGCAAAAATCAATGTAGCAAAAATCAATTACAGCGGATAGAAAAAGAGATCGAAGGATTGCAAGTGAAAATAGATAGAATAAGCTCGACACTCGCTCCTTCAATGAGAAACGTGATGTAAGGATAAACAGCATGACTTTCTTTTTACATTCCAAATGAGATTTAAACATATTCTCCCGATGATAATACGATGTGACATCAATATGACATCGATATCGCCCACCACAATCCCAAGCTGTAGAATTATGATGAATTTTGCAAATATACTCACGCTTCTCAGTTTCCGCTACATGTTTGAAAAGTATCGAGCTTGAGCTGTTATTAATCTTTTGTCTCTTTCGCCTTAACGAATCGGCATCATCTATAAATGATTGTATATTAATGAGTTTTTATTACATCTCGATAATACCGCGTACAATTGCCCTGAATGAAGAAGGCCTCGTATATTTTAAATCTTACAAATGTTCTTAGTGTACATTAATGAAGTTACTCCAAAATGGAGAGTCAACACTGGACAAACTGAGCTTAGGACTTTCGTTGAGACATTTTTTAAAATTAGCAGTCTATAACAACTTGAGAAGAAAAGGACGTTTTGCTTTAAACTCGTAATATCATATAAAACTTAACAACACGTGGTAAAGCAACGCGTATTCAGAATATAATACGAAAATATAACAGCGTCGAACTTGACTAGAAAAGAATTTTGATTATTTGATAATAAATAACAATCACCGAAAGTCACTTGTTTACAAGTCACTTGTAAAAATCGTTAATAGAAAATATCAAAGAAAAAATAACAAATTACACTTTGACTAGATTAGTATTCTGCACACTTAGATAAATGCGTCGATCTTACAACAAGAATCAATCCTTTTTTATATGGGAACGTATCCTAGGAAATAATTCTTGATTTTCCCATTTCTCGGAAAAATCGGTTTAAAGATATAAATATATTCTCAAACGTATGTCATGTTGAAATTGCAAATTTACAACAAGACAATAATAAAAACTTAGTCTCAATGCAAGACGATTCTCACATTTCGCCAGACAAAGTCGGTAGACTCAAACTATCATTCCATATACAAATATTGAGTCATATTCAACTTGGCAGTATATAAACAAAAAAGAAATATTAAACATCGGTCAAACATCAAGTCGATAGTTTAAGTCTCTTTCGCTTCTGTCAGTATCTTTCCACCCTCGACTAGACTATAGTAAAAAGACATCTCATCGAATTCTGAGGCAGTCGCGTGTGGTGCCATAGTAGTATACAGAGCGTAATGCTCTGCTTCAGTTAAATCTACACCGTATGGCGGTGTATCATCGTCGTCTAGCTTGAGGGACTTGACGCTTGTAACGCTTGTCATACTAGGACGTTGAGTCTGTGACTGAGTAACACCTTGTACAGAGTTTTTCAATGAATACGAAGTATTCAACGACGGATCACTGTCTCTATTTAGACTCGATGTCGAGCACTTATCTTTCTTATTTTTTTTAGCAAACAGTTTCGAAAACAGTCCCTGTCTCGCGTTTTTCGGTAAAGTACCGGGTAAAGAAGGTAAATTTTTGTTTGGCGCCTCAGGCGAAGATGGGGTAAGCGTTTGAGCGGATATTGGATGCGGTAAAAGAGGCATCGACGGCATTTTGCGTATTCGCTTCGGGGGCAAGGGTGGTAATCTCTCCTCCGCCTCGTGCATCACGTCTCTCTTAGCTGTTAACGTTGGAGACGCGACGGATACTTCTGCATCTTGTTTCGGCACGACTATGTCCTCATACTTTCTATCATCGGTAATATTGAACAGCTGTATCGGATTTTTCATAGCCATTTGTAAACTGGTGTAAGTCTGATTGTCACGGACATCAATATCCATCATTTGCGGATTCACATTCGTTTCCGTAGCGTCTTGCACCAGTTTATTATGCGTATCAGCGTAAATTTGATCCAATTCGGCTACTTGCGTCAAAAATTCATTGAACGATTTATTACCATTCTCTGTCTCGTTTTTTATCTCCTTCTCCTTAAGGCACGCTTGTCCCTTCTGTACCCATTTGCTTATTTCAGAATAATCGAACCAGTCTGACCTACCCTTCGAGTTACCTACATTTCTCGACGCGGATGTGTCGCCTTCCTGTGTGGCAGATTTCATATAAGAAATTGGATCGACAATTCCTTCCTTATAATCAGCAATAAATGCATCATTCTCTACATTATTACTGTCAAGAGTATACAATTTACTAATTTCTTTATTATTTTCCACGTTTACCCCCGAGATTATTGTCATTTCGTTATTCTCATAATCTAAAACGGTATTCTTTGTGGACTGATCGAGATTTTGTGCAGAATTTATCAACGTTTTTAAATCGCTGTTACACAAATCTACGTGATTCTTCACGTTGTACAAGTCATTCAAAGCGCGTAATGCAGAGATTTTATTGTTCGCTCTTTTCGCGTCCAGATCATTATTGTTGAATTCGTCGATATTACGAGGAAATTTAGGAGTTACATTGGCAAGAAGAGCAGTCTCTGTAGACAGGATTTTACTGAAGGTACTGTAATCTGCCTTCTTCCTGGCAAATGCTTTCCGTAAAGACCAGAAAGCAGGCCTACCTGTACCTAGTGGTAACATCTGAAACGGTAACGCTTCGCTCGTAGCACCATCCGATGGCCTTCTAAGTTGGATGTACACTTGCACTGGCTGTTCCACTTGTTGTGTACGATAGCTAGGCGTTCTGAATGCTATTGCCGTCTACAAAAAGGATACACAATATCGATACACATATAAGCAAACAAGTCGTATTTTTCTATTACTACATTACAATCATTAACAATAGAAATGGAATTAAACTCTATATGAAAAATATTTTATATATTTTATTTTTATAATATTCGATTTTATCTAGTTACTTTAGAATTTTAGGATGAATTCTGCAGGATTCGAAACTTTTAAGTACTGCCTATCGTAAAGAATCGAATCTTTTAACTAATCATCTCAAATTTTAAGAATGAAATTGTTAGTTTAAAAAATGTAGTAAAAATACGTAAAAATATCAAATAATTTTTATTTTATATTTTTAATTATATTTACATTAGATTTATTTTCCACAATTAATAATAATTTAATATTATAATTTAATATTTATTATATATTATTAAATATTGTATAATAATACAAAAAAATATAAAATGTCTAATAAAATACTCGTAAAAAGTTTGAATGTATTTAATTCAAGTTTTGTTTTTTGAAGTGTAAATAGAGGATTTAAGTATATATAGAGGATTTAAATATTTCGTTCGAATCTACCTTAAAATACTGCTTTTATTTTTTGAAGTAATTAGAGAATTTGAAATTATTATAACAAATTCTACTTGTAAGATATTTAATTTCAGATGATTAACAATGCTTGATGCAATCTCTCCTGTCGTGCTCCAGGAGAATTATTTGTATATTTGCCAATGGCGTTGGAGGGTGTCGCCGCTGCAGTCCGACCTGCATTCATCGAGAGAATAGGACCATCATCTCTCTGGCGTACCGATCGTGGGGATTCGAGAGAATACATGTATATGTGTATATTGTAATATATGTATATATGTGTATCATTGAATTGTTGACGTGTTATTCTAAACACGTTATTTATCGCGATAAATATCATCACATGCCTCGGTAATCGAAGGGATAAGATGCCTGCCCGATAAGCAGGAGATCCAGGTTCGATTCCTGGCTAAGGTGGTATTTTTTCGCAAAAGAATTACGAGTTTTCATGACTGGTTCGTGGTCGGGCCCCGCCGTGACGCACACCCTCCCTTCTTATTTGGGATTAACAAGTCACTTTTAAATATTAACTTACTTGTTTATGTACATGTGTCGGTTGAAAATCACCATATCCTTCCCAGAGTAATTGCCCGTCTCTCTCCTCGAAAAATCTTACTTGTATATCTTCTTTCGCGACTTTTTCACATAGCAAAATCATGTCTATACTACCAGCGACTGATGCACTACAATGGCTCAATTTGCAAATCACAAGATCTGACATTGCCTCTAAAAATATGTATATAGAAATTTTAAGTATATGTGTGTATAGATTTTAAAGTACATGTAATATTACATACTTTTATCATAAATAGGATCAGATACAATAGGCGGTAACGGTTTGTTAAATTTTCCTTTCTGTGACCCTTCCAAGAAAACTTGGAAACATAATCTCACCGCATTGAGATCGATATTAGTTGGATGTCTCTTATGCTCAAAACCAGCTGTACCAATACAGAATTTCATGATTAATGTATTTATATTAATTAGGAATTTAAAAAAATGTAAATCGACATACTTCGATAGGGATCTACTCGTAATTCTTGACGCATCCTGAGAGCTTCTTCGATGTCTTTTTTCTTCACACATTGAATGCCCAGATTTGAGAAAGTAACAACCATATTTCCCGAAGGAACTTCTACTGTACAAACACCTTGTTTGCATACTTCCTTGCCGACAAGGTTATGCGGATGAGGTCTGTATGGCGAATCCTTTGTTACACAAGATACAACTACCATAGCGCGTCCCTTGTAACCCACAATCTATAAAAATATCAATTATATTCTATCAATATATAATAAATTAACTTTATCTTGGTTTAATTTACACTTTATCTTTTTTTAATCCCTGGAATTAAAAATAAAACTAAAAAATAAATTGAGATTGAAATTAATCCATATTGATATAATAGTAGAAATGGATATTAAAAAACTCACTAAACGATCACATGAACTCACTCGTATACTAGGGAAAGTTTTGTTCTCTGGCGTACTATTGACACCAGGTATGCTGCCAGCTGATCTGCCCTCACACTCATAGCGAAATCGCAATGCTTTGCTGGCTGGCTGCTCCAGAATCTCGACATGTGGCTGAACATGTTCACTATCCATTGCTATGGTAGCCATAGAACCAGGATCGGTGGTTTGAATGACGTCAACTAAAAGCAATGCTCATCAGACAAGCTATACAAAATATACCGAGATATAGATATACACTCAATACTTACTGATATCGCTTATATTAATATCTCCGTCACTCATACCATTGTATTGATCCATGACTGAGAGTCTTTAATACATTGGGCTTTGTCCATCTGTAATTATAAATATATCAATTGATCACATGGTTTTGTATATAGTACATAATACCTTAGATTTTTCTATTTATATTTCAGTAATAAAAATATCTTCATTAGAAATATCCTCATATTTAAATTGCTAAAGCAACTACTAGAAACAAATTTTAATGTATAATGAATATTTGCATGATATCTTACACATTCTTAAAGAATTTTTCTAGATATTTCCAGCATATTTCTTAATTCTAATATATAATAGTCTTAAAACTTTAATAGTTGAATTGATACACCACAATGTACAAATCGCCGTGCTCAAGTGATGAGTTGCTGTACTAGAGGCCAGCATCAGCAAGAAACTAGGAAGAAGACAAACGCAATTTTCACGCACAGCCTTCGAACCTCGGGAACGACAGCTGTTCGTTCGTTCGTACGCGAGGATACATCCAGAAACACTGTACGCAAGTGTCCCGGGGGAAAAAGGAGCGCGAGGAGGGATGCTCAACGCTGATCCAATCATTATTTTGGGAGAGCCTAGGCCCGTACAGGCCGCGTATCTATAATTAAACTATCGTAGGACACAATGTGTCGGGAGAGAGGAAGACAGAAGGAGCGAAATCGAGGAGCGAGAGAGAAAGAAGAAGAAGGAAGAGGGAGGCCGAGAGCGAGAAACTGAGTGGAGAAAAAAGAGAGATAGAGACTTGCCTGATGCACGAATCAACATGCTATATGCTCTCGAGGCTGGCGCTGCGTGTTCTCGCGCCGTGCGTGACGCGTCGTTCGCTCGCGTTGACGACGAGATCGAGAACGGGAACGAGAGCGCGAGAAGTGCGTCTGGCGATAGGAACGGCGATCCCGATTTCCCTCACCACACATGTGCGGAGGACCACGGTTGGCGCACGGGAGAAAAATAGCCGGAGGCGACTCGCTGCGTAAAATTGCGCGAGACCCGTCCACTTCCGTCGCGTAGCGATCGCCAACGATCGCGCTGGCCTCGCGCGCGTTACTGCGATGCGTACGCGTACTCGGCCCCGCGAGCCCCCGTGACGTTGAAACGAGCGACCGACCGACCGATCGACCGGACGGATGGACGGACGGACGGACGGACGGACGCCACCAGCGACTGACTCAGGCTGACCGACCGACCGACCAACCGACCGACCGACGTACGGCGAAGGCGGTGGGAACGACGGCGTGGGCGGGTGAATAAGAAATTTCGCACACGCGCAGCCGAAACGATCGAGTGCTGATGTTCCAATGCTGATGTCAATTTCTATCAATGCAGATTAAATTTCATCTCAGGCTAACTTACTTTTCATGTTTTGGTTCTAAGAATTAGGAAGGAATAATGAGTGAATTAAAAGCGGATTAAAATTAATAAGGAATGGACGTATGTGAGATGTTGACGTTTATTTTTATTAATAATGTTTAACTTTAGTTTCGGTTAAATTTTTTATTTATTTTTTATTTTTAAGAATTAGAAAAAAAAGTTAAACAGTAAATTAAAGTATTATAAGATATTAAATTAATAAACATTGATAAAAAAAAAGATATGAGATATTGAGAGAAGTCTCGGAGAGACTATTCATAATTTACTAGATATATCTTGTATTTAAAATCGTACTAAAATTTCGAAATGGCACCTCGTTAATTTTATTAATTAAATTATCATTTATCAAGTTATTATTTTAATTAAAATAATTTTAAATGTAAAAGCATATTATCACATGATATGTCCTTTTTTTAAAAATAAATCGCGAGAAATGATATTATCTTATTATCGAGTTAACTTAATGTTTTTTTAACCAACAATACAAGTTAAATTAATATTAATATGATCTAATAAAATTAACTAAATTAAGTTAAAAGTTATATGGACAAAAACTTAAAATTAAAATTAAATTAATTTAAGTTAGTTTAAAAATTTCTCTCAAGAAATCTTATTAATCTATTAAACTAAAATGTCATAATTTATTAAATTATTAAAATTAAATTGGTTTAAAAAGATAAAATAATTATGAAATAACAAACTAAAAATTTTAATTTAGAAATATGTTAAAAATTTTAATTTAATGTATTTTGAAAAATAGCTAATTAAAGTTTACTCGTTTAAAATTAACTAAATTAAATTCAAAATTCTTGACTTTTTAATATTATGACTTAATTTGTAATTACTACTTATTATTCAACTTTGCTTATCATGATGATTTATATAACAAATTCTTAGAAAAAATTTGAAAAATTTTGGGAATTTCAAATCATGCAATCTCTTTGCTGATTATATTCTCTTGATCTCTGTCAATTTTTGAGATGCTTGATTTTAGCAAATTAAAATTCTGAATTTTCATAATCGCATTTCTTAGAAATTTGTTAAATTTCTAAAATTCTAAGTCATGCAAACTCTTTGTTGATTATTTTTTCCTGATATTTTTTAAGATCACTTTTTAAGATTCTTCATTTTAACGACTTAAAATTCCAAAATTTTAAGATTATAATTCCTGGAAATTTAAAAAAATTTTTGAAATTGTAGATAATGAAACTTTCTCGCTGAGCATATTTTTCTAATATTTTCTCAATATTGATGAATATAAATTTTCACATCGAAAATTTGAAATTAAAAATTATGATTTCTAGATGATTTTTAGAATTTTTGTCAGTTTGGCATATGGAAATTCGGAGGAATATTTGTAAGACAATATTATTGTATTATTAATGCACGTTTTATCATGTCTTTAAATATTACAAAATATACATTACTAACGTAAAAGAAACTAACGTCTAGAAATCATAATTTCTAATTTCAAATTTTCGAGGCGAAAAATCTATATTCAATATTGAGAAAATATTAGAAAATAATGCTCAGCGAGGAAGTTTCATTATCTACAATTGCAAGAATTT